CAGTTCAGCAGGGTTTGCAAATGTTCAGATCCAAAGTGACTGTAAGAGCGTTGCTGATGTCTGGGCTTATCCAGGAGCTTGGCTCTTTCCCAAAGAGATTTAAATGGGAAACCTGCCCATGGTGACTCTCTGGATTATAAGATCTTGTACCAACAGTGATGGCACCAGACACCCCATGGAAAATCACCCATTTGGCAGAAGTAGGTATCTGTTAGGTTGCCAATGCCAGAGGGCAGGATTTCTCCCATGTCTGCTGCCAAGCTGTAACTTCAGTGGTGGTGCAAGAACACAGGTGAGGGGAATTCTTGGCCCAGATGGTCTTTAGCTAAAAACAAGCCCAGTTCAACAGCTTTGCTGTTTCTTTCCTTTTCTGGAGTTTTCAGGTCCAAGTAACACTTGGACCTGAGGTGACACTGAGATGCTTTTGGTGGTTCATCCAGCACATCTGCTGGAGTTGTGCTTGCAGGCTCTGGGGACAGGTTTTGGCATGGCCTAACAGGACCTCTCTGTTCCACCTGTAAGTAATTGTAGATGGATCTGCAGGTCACCTACATGTCCAATAGCTAATTTGCAGACATGGATGCTTGGGTGTTTTCTGCCTGCAACTGCATCAAGCATCTGTGACTGTAAATCTGGCAGCTGGACATTGACTATTAAATAACTGTCTCACAAGTAATTGCAGTTCTGAACCTGTGCCTGATAGCTGAGCTGAGTGCTGAGATTTATTGCAGATGAGAGCCAGGATGGTGTGGTGGACTTGGCATGCCATGCCATGACAGGGTCTATGTAAGGGATGGGAGCACTGGTGCAGGGGTTGTTCCTATGGCTTGTGGCTCAGGGATGTGGTTGGGATTACCAGGGGACCTTACACAACGGGTCTGTATAAGGGGGTTGCCACTGTGTGACTCGTGCCAGGAAAGTAGGTAAATTGTTTGGCTGGTTTGTTTTGTCTAAGAGGTGCAAACGTGTTTTGGAGGAAGCTTGCAGGTTGTTTTTTTAAAGCTGTATTTTAAGGTGAGAAGGGCTGACACTTTGAGGGACACACCACCTTCAAAGTGTGGACTGAAGGTGTTTGGAGGAGGGGTGATTAAACTGTATCTGTTCTCAAAGGCTAATTATTGGCAGGTTGTAGGGGATACAATACGACTTTTATGTAAGGCATAAATCTGGAAACACTGACTCATAAATACTTATTTTAATAAACTCCATGTGTTCTGGACGTGCTGCTTCTACCAACGGATGGGAATGGGTAAGGTTTAATTTCTTGGCAGCAGGATTCTGACCTGGTGCTGGATGCCTCAGCTATGTGTGCTTATTTAATTGGGTGCTGGATTTCTGACATCTCTAGAGCCACAGGCCATTTGGCCCACACGCATGCCAGCCATCCTGGCCAGGAGGGATCGGCAGGAGGAGAGTTTCTAGTTAATCCTGTCCCTGTTGGGGTGTCATCCTTTTTTAATTTCCTTTCACTCTTCCCTGCCTCCTCCTCCTGGCTCTTCTGAGTCCCAGGGCAGCACACGTGGCAGGGCTGGGTCTCCTAGGGTCACTGCCACAACGATGTACATGGAAAATAGTGTCTTGTGCTCAAGGCATCTGCAAGCTCCTGGAGTTCCCATGTTGCTTTTGAAAGCAGCTGCAGGCAGGGAGCAAGAGGAGAGGTAGAAGAGGAACACGTGCCAGAGTCTGTGGTGTGGGGATAGGAGCAGGGTGACGTGTCCCTCGCTGCTGGGTGCTCACCCAGGCAGCACCGAATGCTGCCACCAGCCCTGCCCAAGGCTGCAAAAATTCTGTTTCTTCCTTTGGGCTCCCTGCTGTCCAGTTTTTCAGTGAGATCAGAACAAATGGAATATAAGGCTTTGAAGGGGGAAAAAAAAAAGGTAAACCTTTGATAGTGAAGGGACTCCTTGTGCTGGTACTTTCAGATCAGCCCTGCACATGGCAGGGACTGATCCAGCCTCAGCCACTGCAAATGGCTAGATACTGGAGGAAGGGGGTAAAAATTAACCTCTTCCTTATTCCTTTGGGGATGCAATTTTTTTGCTAACCTGTTTATTAGAACGGCCTTGTGAACAAAATACGAGGGCAGAAATTGGTGAAAGATGCACTACATGATCATCTTCAAACTCTGCAGCTTTCTTTGTTGGGATTCCAGAGCAGCACATTTGGTCTCCAGATCCCTGAGTGTGCGAAGAGGTAAATGGATGGGAGGGTGTTAAAATGTAGCTACTTCTGCAAATTTTCCAGCAAAGCAGTAGCTGTGGCACAGCCTGTGTATCAGGGAAATAGTCACCAGCTTTGCTTTTCCCTAGAGCAGAGGGCTGGGAGGGGAGCAGAAGCAGGCAATCCCGCGCATCCCCTCATGTGGCCCTCTTGAGCCCAGCTGGGGATCTGCCAGCTGTGCCTGTCCCTGGGTGGGCAGTGACCCTTCCCCAAGGTTTGTTGGGGACTCAGGAGCTGCTGGGTCCAGAGCTGTTCAGGACAGCTGCGATCTCCAGCTGGTCTCTGCCCTGAGAGATGTCTGGGGTCCCTCCAGCCACTGAGGAGGTGGCAGGGGGAGAAGGGGACACATGGGTAGGGAAATGGAGCACCCCTGAGCAGCATGTTTCCCTCCTCCCTTTCATTGCCCAGACACAAAGCTGGCTGCTATTAACTCCTGTGAAGTGTGCCTTGCTGCTCAGGGCATCAAGGATGCTCAGGGGATGGGCGTGCTGTAGTGACGAGGTACACACATGCGCGTGTGCATCCTCCCTGCACACTGCAAAGGCCACTCTGCCCAGCCGCCTCGCCTGCTTCTCTGCTTGGGCAGGGGAGAGGGGCAGGAGCGCAGGCAGCTGCACTTGTGCTGGCTTTGCTTTGCAGCTCAACACACGTTTTAAAAGCCTGAGTGCTCCGGAGACAGCCTGGGAGGCTCCTGGGGGAGGCCACCACTGCTAGCCTGCGTTAGGCAGCAGCCAAGTGTTGAAAGCTTCAGGGCATGCCAGGTTCGTAAGTGGACAGTGGTGGCTTCTTGGCAGCAGCTCTGCTACCCCGGGGAGGTGGCTTGCCTGGGCATGCATGAATGTCCCTGTGTGTGTAGCGTGGATGTAGTCTTTGTGTGTGTTGGTAGAGGTGTACAAGGCAATGTCTTCCCCCAAGCAGAGCCTTGGCTGTGGGCTGCACCGTGTGAGAGCACGAGCGTGTTGTCTCCAGGAATCTGCCCCATCTGTGCATTGCAGGTATGGAGGGCCTACTGTGTGCTGGGTGGAGCAGCCAGGACTGCCAGAGTTGGGAATATGTGGTTTAGGTAGGGCTGGGCAATGCCTGTGTGCCTTTGTGTCCATGCATGTGCAAGTCTGTGTTTCTGTGAGGTGCTTTTGCATGGTATGGTCTATACTAGGGTGCAGCAGAACAGTGAGGGCTGCATGTGATGCTGGGGTAAGCAAGCCCTATGAGCATCTCTCACTTTTTAGATAAAAAAACTCCGGTGAAATCCCACACTTAACAACTCCACAGCGGCCTCTGTGTATTAATGTAGAGTCTTCTCTGCTGCTTTCTGAAACCACATGGTAGCTCCTGCCAGCAGGAACCTCACCAAGGCTCTTTTTAAAGGCTCTCTGCAAACCTCAATTTCCAACGTAGTGGAGATTTCTGTGGTGATGAGAGGTGGGGCTTACTGGGCAGACCACCAGCAGGTTGCAGTACCCTGGGGAAAGAGGGCAGCTGCTCGAGTGCAAACACCCTTCTACATGCAAATTCTACCCTATTTTGTTGCATGACAGCATCTCTCTGCCAGGGCGGGCCTTGTGCCTTACATCCCTTACGAGTCTATTCTGTTGTCCTTCGGCAGGCAATGTTGCTGAGAGCTGTGGGCTTGTTGTTATGGCACGGCTCACTGGGGATGCTGTTCCCCTGGCAATAGCTGAGGAGCCTCAACCACAAGGAGTACATCTTTCATGGGCCACAGGCAGATGTGGGATCTCTTGGGGAGGGTGAAATGCTCTGCAGAGCTCTTATTGCAGCATCAGTGATGGCTGGTGGTGGAAAATATGGGGTAGGCACATCCCATGGGGTTTGACCCTCTCTCTTCCCATGCTGTGCCTTATCTCTGTATTCAAACCATGTGATGTGTCCTGCATGGGTCT